TCCGCTTTCGCTTTATTCGTTCACTGGTTCTTGTTAGTTCTATCCGTTCAGGTGCTATACTTTGCGTAGCGTTGTATGTACTGCTTTCAATCGCACTTTTTGTCTTTTTTGAAAAACGGATTTTTTTCAATTCCACTCAAATGATAAATTTTTATTCATAAAATCATGAAATCTACCGGATGTTCTCTGAGACACATCTGCATTCGACTTCATCTCAACTTATGACAGGGCTCAGTGCGAATGAAACAGTTCATGCTAGCTTTAGTCATGTTATATCGGTTGGTTTTGCCTGTTTCTTTGCAGACACCTTGAAAAACAACGGAGAGTTCTTAAATGGGGGACTCGTCGGCACTGCGTAATTAAGACGAAGCTGATAACGCTTCTAACAGAAAAAAACGCCTTTGGAAAAGGGACGACGTTTCGGATTACCTCGTTGCACAAAGACAGCACTACCGAACTGCTGCGGAACCTAGGTCTGGAATGGCGGACTATGTCCAGACCGGGACTGGAAGCGGTACCAGATCTGGATCCAGATCCGGCACAGTCAGAACTGGAACCGGAACCACAGCACAGATCGACTGAGGTGACGGCATCAGCCGTCGACGGCAGATCCGAATTCGACTGCAACAGCATAGTCGTCCGATTGCTATAAATAAGGCAGAGGCGGTGCGTGAAAACAAGAAACTGACAGCGAACATCAACGAACGAACTTCGTTCCGGTTGTACAGCAATCAACGGCCAAGCACAGGTCAGCCGGGACGCTGCTGAAGAGCTTCAATCTCCAGACCCTGGAAGGCCTCGGTCGCCAGTCACCTCCTTCTTCTCCTCCCTCGGTCTCGTCGCACCTCATCGCTGTCGCTGATGTCATCGCCTCGTAGACGTTATCCATTGCTTCAAGACGCTGTCGATGCCTCGATGGCTAGCCTACCGCCGTAGCGGGAAGTGAACCATGCCGGTCGTCGTCAGTCATTGTCGAACGGCGAGCCCGCTCGACCTGCGAGTTCATCTTTCAGTTAGCTTTCAGCAATTTCGTTCGTCAATCATTCACGGTAGCCCTAAACACGGAAAATTAAACGCACTGTTGTTCCATGCTTCGCGACCGAATGTCGCAGTTGTCATGCGCCCGCTACCATCACACGTCTAGTTCATCGCGCCTAACGGTTCTTTCACAAATACCGTACACCGTGGCATTCAGGCAACCTTACACTGTCGCCATCCCGTTTGATGTAACAGCGTTGGGGTTAGACTTCTTCTTCGATCATCCATTGTCCCATCCGTCAAGATATATCGTTGTCTTATCCAACAGTTCAGAAAAAATAGTTTTATAACCATTTCTGCTTAAAAACATTAATTGGAACAAGTGCCTGTATGAACTAGACAAGCATTATCACAACATGACAAATAAGCAATCCGTACACCGGCGGCATCAGCATTGTACTCCTGCAGAGATTCAATCAGTGACGAAACTTAGTGCCAAGTACCACTAAGCTTTACGACAGCGTCGTACCTTAGCATACGAATGTTTCTAGGAAAGAAGGAAGCTACTGACTCTCAGAACGTTGCGGTCCGTTCCAAGTTCCACTGAGAATTTCAGTTTTATTCAAAGTCTACCGGGTGTTGTTGCTGTATCGAACGTTTGCCGAGAAGCAAATTTTTAATGCCACAGTGTGCAGTTCAGTTGGAATTTTCAGTCGATCATTCTGCAACATCGTCCTGTATCTTATGACTAAAGAGAATCTCGTTTCGTTGTATATTATGTGCAACAATTAGGTAGAAGCAGTTCTGTAGATGCGGTAGGTATTCTTCAAAAGAAATTTCAAGATTATCTAGGCACTGTATCTTTTACTGATGTTTGCAACTATTAGACTATTTAAATAAAATTTTCCATTTAATATTCAAATGGCTTAGTTCAGATACACGGAGCGCGCAACAATTTTGTATCTCAAAGCTACACGCCATCGAAGGATCAAGAGCCAAACCTGGAACAGTTGACCTCTCATTTACTTGATGAAGAGCTTTATTTTTACGCGCGGACTGTGGATATTTCTTCATGCACATTCGAAGATTCGGGTTTTGATGCAAAGAAGTAGGAGTATAGCAAAACGTTTGTAATGGGAGATGAGGTTTTCCGTTCCCTCCACTCTGAAGCAGCAGTTGAATGGGGATATTATCTAACAATGAAGAACATTTTAAAATGCAATGAAGTACCTACTAAGTGATTTCTATTTGGAAGAGATGCATGCAGGAATCATATCTGCTGTCAAAATCGAAGCGAGCTGTCAGGATGGTGCCTTATTGACTGTTGAGTTCGCCGGAAGAAGTACTGTCGCCTTTGTTATTAAATATTGTTTGATACTTTTTCTTTTAAACAATACTGATCCTGATAAAAAAAATATCTAATTTTAAATAGACAGCACAGTTCAAAAGATTCGGCTAGACATTTCACGGACATAGTGTATTTGCACGATGTAGTCCATGGCAGGGGGTAACGAACTTTCTCACCTGAGTGCCTCCATATGCAACACAGCTGCAAAAATCGACCTCTTCCTTTACATCCAGAGATCAACAGTTGCTATTTTGTCTAGATCTTCAAATGAAGCAGGAAAGTGACGTGTTTGACAAGGCTAATCAGTTTAAGTATTTCTTAGCATTTCCATGGTTCCGCATTACAATGATTGGCCCAGCTTTGAGTGCCACTGGAAATTGGTCCAATTCCTGAGATAAGAAAGACGTGTCCTTTTCCAATAAAAAAATTGGTTTGTACTTTGACTCCGTCAGGTGAGTATTGTTTCACGTCATGGAGTCAGTTTTTTAATGAAGAAGAAGGAACGAAGGTTGAACTACATACAGCGTTGCTGACTTCGGCGCATAATTTGAAATAAATGGCAGAACATCGTAGATATGGAAATTAAGAAAAGGAATTTAGCCCTCTTAGACAATCTGTTTATGCGTAGAACGTTTACTTCAGTCCCTGAGGAGAACCGAAACAGAGCATATGTTGATCAAGAGACTATCCTGAAACATGGAAGAACAAGGTAGGTAGGTGCAAATTGAATTTATTTTACTGTTTAAATGACATCATCAATAACACCATTTTTCAGCATGAAAACAGCAAGTATATCACATACCATGGGAAAGAAGGAACAGAAAAGAAATGGTTCAACAAACAGTATACCCACAATTACACAGCTGAAAAAATAAAGGAATATAAGCAGTATAGAGCAAAGAGGTAAATGATGTGCAATGAAGCGGCGGCAAAACAGAGTTAATGAACATGACACATGAGGAAATAAAGTTGCCTAATTGCTTCACGGTATCGGATGATCCGCTGAAACGAATGATTAGCGGTAAAGCTCATTTGTGGCATACGAATTTACGAAAGGGAACCTTCCGGAAGAGTAGTGAGACATACTTCCTGCAAAGTTGTTGTGCGCGGAACGAGCGCTGTTTGCGAGGATGCTGTCGCTCATCCGAATTTTGTGGTTTACTAGTAGCTAGTTTTCACTTTTAAGTCGTTTAATGAAAGACACTTCGCTTAGAGATTCGCTAGAGTGACTGCCTCCAAATTTTTTGGTCACATTTTAAAAAACCGAGAAAAATAATTGCAACGGCGTAAGTAAGCATTGGCGACACACATGCGTAGACAAAGTTCTTAATGGTATCAGGGAGAGCGTGGAGGAACTTCAATCTCGGGATGAAAAACGATGTGCAACAAGTACGAGTCGCCACTGAATTCACGTGTTCATGCCAAGAAAAGTCGGATGGAAGGGTGACACCCACGCATTTTATATCTTCAATGCCAGCTATAATCTCATCAAAAAGGCTAGGCGGTCAGGCTGACAGGTCTAGTAATTGGATACTCGTGGTGCCGCACATGCTGCAAATCTAT